AGGATTATCCTATGGTAACACGCTTGCGTTCTTATCATTTATCGACCGCTCTCGAGGAGCTCTTACAGTTAATATCCGATAACGTAAAATTGATTATGCCTCCCGCGATAGCAACATTTGTATTTCTTGTCTTACGACAGATAGACGTACACTACCGCGTCCCAGAACAAATTGATTCTCGATTGGAAGTCGGAACGCTCTTCTTAAACGCGATAACATTGTATTTAAGTAAATGTCTGACGTCTGTTAAGCGACGGAATAAATATTAATCGAATAATAACGGGATAGAATCGTATCGCGTTGAGCTATTAATAGCAGACGTGCAACCGGTCGGCTAATTTTTTTTCCTTTCCAGTATTAAGAAGATAACAGCTACAACGAGTGTAACCAAACGATACTTCCTCGTTATACGTATTTATTTATTTATTTACTAAAAATTATGTCCTTTTTGGACTTCAAAAAAAAAACATACAAAAGTTGTGTACAATATAGAAAACAACTAGACAACTCGATATAAAAGAAAAGTGGCAGAGAAGAAGATATAGTATCAGAGGTAAATAAAACTATCGATTAGATTAGTGCAACGAAATAATCCTTTGGACGTCGTATTTAAATAAACGGTCTAAACGACAAAGTCTTTGGACTTTTGGTGGAACTTGCCGCTCGATATTTGCCCTTCTTTTTGGTCTATTGACAATAGGAGAACGTTGTATCGTATCGGAAACACAAGAAGTTTATCCAATATTTAGAATGAGAGTTTATTTACAAGATCTTATATAAGTTACAAAATTATGGAGTTGGCGTAAAGATGAAGTTCTTTAAACATTACTTAGCGTATTGGACAATGGTTTTAGAAATAATATCGACGCATTCTCGTATTTGTTGTTCGTTGATGACCAGCGGTGGAGCTAATCTGATTATATGCTGATGCGTTGGTTTCGCGAGCAGACCAGCATCCTTCAGCTTCAAACAGATATCCATGGCGTCGATCTTCTCGTTGATGACTATAGCGTTGAGGAGTCCCTTTCCTCTGACCAGAGTGACCACGTCCTTCGGAAGTTTCCTAAGTTCGGTTCTGAAAATCTGGCCCATCTTTTCGGCGTTCTCCGCCAGCTTCTCCTCCTCCAACACACGAAGAGCCTCGATGGCGACTTTGCTTCCCAGTGGATTACCTCCGTAAGTCGAACCGTGTTCGCCAGGCTTAATGGTCAGCATTACAGAATCGTTGGCTAGTATACCAGACACCGGGTAGAAGCCACCCGAGAGAGCTTTCCCGAGAATCAAGATGTCTGGCTTGACGTTCTCGTGGTCTACGGCTAATCGTTTTCCCGTCCTGGCTAAACCGGTTTGCACTTCGTCCGCTATCCACAAGACGTTGTTTTTCGTACAGATATCTCTTACTCCTTTTAGGTATCCATCCTTGAATAATTTTCAAGATTGAATTGTGTGCTATCGATGAAGAGTTTCAGAGAATCAAAAGCTTACAAAGAATTAGCATACCTTTGGTACTACAACGCCAGCCTCGCCTTGTATAGGTTCTACCATAAACGCGCAGACGTTGGGATCGGCCAAGGCTCGCTGAAGTGCCTCGAGATCGTCGTACGGGATCACTTCGAATCCAGGCATAAATGGGCCAAAGCCTTTGTAACTGGTGGGGTCTGTGCTCGAGGACACGGCGCTCAGCGTCCTCCCCCAAAAGTTGCCTTCCGCGAAAATGATTTTCGCCTGATTCTCTAGTATACCTTTACACGTGTAACCCCATCTGCGCGACACTTTGCACGCGGTTTCACCGCCTTCGACTCCTGTATTCATTGGCAACCATTTCTCGTACCTGAAAATAATCGATTATCAATGGTTAGTCGCGACGTTGCGTTACAAAAGACGCGTCACGTACCCGAAGAGTTTCGTGATGTATTCCTCCAACTCGCCCAGTGCGTCAGAGTAGAAGGCCCTCGAGGTCAAAGTTAAGAGTTTCGCCTGTTCGACCAGGGTCTTGTAAATTCTCGGGTGACAGTGGCCTTGATTAACGGCGGAGTAAGCGCTCAAAAAGTCGAAGTACCGTTTGCCCTCGATGTCCCACATGAAGACACCTTCGGCTCTGCATACCGCAACAGGGAGAGGGTGATAATTGTGAGCACCGTACTTCGATTCTCGTTCGAATACCTCTTGAGACGTGATCGTACGACAATTCTTCTCGTTCTGCATTCATACTTCACGTGTCGATTAATCGGAAATTGATTGCGCTTTCGCCAATTTTATTAATCTAGTACTTTCATATAAACTACTTTCACGTTTGCCAAGACCGAAGTTATGGTTACCAGTGTCCCGATGCAACTTTCGATTCTCAGAATTAAAGATAGACGCAATAGAAGTTCTTAAGTACAAACGAAATCGTTAACGAACGCACGTGGCATTTTCATTTTGTTTTTAGGCAGAAAATATGCTAGCGTGGTTCGCATGGAAAGCTACACCGAGATATGGTAATCATGTTATCTTTGTTAATTTAAAAATTTGTCTTTTTTCTCTCTTCGGTATCGTTGCTCTGTTCCGGTGCAACGTTTATTTCCATGCAAAACGGCCGATCCTGACTTCTGCTTTATTACCTGATAGACGGGATTCAAAAGTTTTCCTTTAGAAATTCCCCGTGTGCTTCGAAACATGCTTCGAGCTAACGATTCCATTACTGGCGAAAGGAGTTCTTCGAAGGAGGATTCTTCTATTCGAATTAATCTCTTGGGCCGACTCGCGCGTTGATCTACAAAATTAAAATGTATAGTATCGTTTCCATTAAGTACAGATCGTTGAAAGATACTATCGAATCGTGAGAAAGTATTATAGTTTATTGTTTAGAAGTGTATCGCTCAACGGTAGTTAGGGTTCCGTCTCGAAAGGTGGACGATTGTTATTAAAAATGAAAGAAAGCAAAATGACATTATCAGTGAGAGTATTAATGTTTACCGGGAAATAAAGTTATCGGCGTTGCATCGTTATCGCTGCAGCAAAACAGTGTATTAACGATGCCTCGTGTCCGTTTTAATTACATATTGCATACCATTACCTTTATGGATTTTCGACGAGTGAATTGCAGTGACTTCTTTGGTTGAGTAATATTATTCAAAGGTACCTTTGCGAGTGTACGTGCTGCCGGCCAGAGTGACACAAATTCGAAGGAATACAAAAGACTGAATGTTTCTCGGCGAATGTAGTCTTGTCGCCCGCCTTAGTCATTCCTTGTCAGCGCATACAGTGACATTGTAAGTACGCTACTCGTATCGAAGATAAGCCGAATGATATCGACAACGTAATGGAACTCGACTGTTGGACTCCCGAAAACCTTCATTCTTCAAATACTTAAATAAATCTTGATAAATAGTAGAGGAAAACATTATTTTTCGAGTCGCTGACGTTTTTTCAATAAATTCTTTACAAAATACTTCCATTAGTAATATTCTATAGCGCTAACAAATCTTCCTCCATCTCCCCCTTCTCCTGGGTTTCCTTTTACTAAGGTATTTCTCCCATCAGGTGACGGTGTGAGATAAATACCTACAGTGGGTGTAGAATGTATTCGTACACCGATCAATTTCCCAAAAAACTTTTCTGTGAAATTGTAGTTTAATTAAGCTTAAGTTTAATGTAGCTTAACTTGTTTTTTTATAATCAATGATATTTTACATATTCTCGGAAATCTCTAAGATAGATATAGTCCAAACAACATTTACTAGTTAATGGAATTTGTGAAATTGATAGAAAAATACGAAAAGTGGGTAAAAGTATCGAAGCAATAAGTATTTGTACGATTCTTATGACGAACCATTTACAGTAGAGTTTGTAACGTAAACACATTAGTTTATTGCTCCGTACGAATTAGAAAACATCAAATTTCCAGTAAAGTACTTTTAAAAAAGGCTCTAATAGAGGAATTGAAGGAGATCCCACTTTGAATAACTAATAATTTAAAAGGAAAAAAATTGATAAAAACAACAGGAAATCCCACGAAGGAGATATTATATACTTGTAAATTAATGTAAATTTCTTTCTTTTTAACGAAGTTTTAAAAATTAAACGGTTGTGCGAATACTTATTGCTTCAACATTTCTATCGATTAATTGTTTTTTTTTCTTGTTAATTTCGCAACTTACATAAATAGCTATTATTTTTTGTAATCTATCTATTCTAGAGATTTCCGAGAATGTGTAGAATGTCATTTTTTATAAAAAATAAGCTAATAAATTACAATTTTACATAGTTTTTTTTGGAAATTGATCAGTGTACGAATACTTTCTACACCCACTGTATATGTATATTAACATTAGCTCTAAGTCTCCATCCACAAAGGGTTAAAAGGTTTTCCACTTAAGTGGAAATTGTTCACAGATCAAAAAACTGTGAATCTCCTCTGGTTTAATCGCTTCAATTTTCGCTCGAAGCAATTGTGACCTTTTTGGAGCCCTGCAACAATAGTACGAATATTATTAAAAATTATCGCGGTAACTTCTACGAATTAAAAAGTAAATAAAGATGCACGCCTACCTGGGTTTTCCGCGGATATGCTTATCAGCAAAATCAAGAATGATAAGACACCACAAACGGCGCTTTATCTGTAGGTGCAGAACAATTAACATCTTACCGGTTCAAAGAATGAAATATATGAAATATATCGTCCTTATTTATCGTAATAACGAATCGTTTCTTCATGCACATACGTATACATTTCTTAAAATGTAAAATTTAGGGAAGCGAATAAAAATGACAAGAAACGAACTCCAAATAAAAGAGGATTCTGTTTTACAAGAGAATTGAATAAATTTAGAATGTAATACTTTGCGTTAAATATTACAGCTGCGGAAACACAGTCGTGCACTTCGTAATGATATCATTATTGATTTCAATATTGATTCAGCAGTTAACCATAACTGTTAATAATTGTAACGATTCATAATCATAAATATCATAATAATCATACGATTTAAAGAATTCTTCGGCAAGTTTGATGAATGCACGCATTTTACCCGCCTTTTCCGTTCGATTCGTCATGGTGGTACGCGTGATTCGATGCTGCGATTCAAATAAATGTTGTTAGCCTTCCACAGAACGTTCTCTTCATCTGTATTTAGTAATTTTATTTACTGAACAATCAATAACATGAGTGAAGATAATTACGACGAACTTCGAAGAAAAAATATAGCCGAAAGAAATGCCTTCGTAAGTACTCCTGTTTACTGATTCGATTTTTAACCTATATTCGAATATCAGATTTGCTCATCTTTAACGTTTCAGTTTGCTGAAGTTTTTAAGGATTTTAAAAAACAAACAAATGAGATAGAAGGACTGTCAAAGAAGTATAAAAGCACGGATAATTTAGAGAATGAACCACCGAAAAAAAGACGAAGAACTGTTTCTGGAGCTATCTATGATGATAACTTTAAAATTAACCGCGTGCAACTCGGATTCCGTAGAAAATACAATACTAGGAGCAGAGTGAAAAATTTAAGCAAAGACGACTCGAATACCTCGAAGAATGAGGAGGAGAAGGAGAATGATGATGATTTAGACAAACCTAGACGTAATAGATCTAAACTACAGGTTTTGTTCTCTTGGGCAAAACCAATGCAACGGTCAATTGATCTAATGAATATGGGAGTTTGTGATGTAGACCAAGAAGAAGAGCAATACAGTGATGATGATGATGATGATGGTGATGATGATGATGATGATGATTCTTTTAATTATACTAAGAAAAAGAGGGTTTACAAAGTATCAAAGACTCCATATGACCCAAACAACATACCTTCCGTTGATGAAATTACAGATAAGATGCTGAACAATGTAGCAGAGAAAAGTTCTTTAAAAACATATTCTAGCATTAATGGTACTAGCTGTCATCAGTGCAGACAGAAAACTTTAGATACAAAAACAGTATGCAGATCAGGAGAATGTGTTGGAGTCAGGGGACAATTTTGTGGACCTTGTTTAAGAGGAAGATACGGTGAAAGTGCTGTTGAAGCATTAAAAGACCCTGTATGCATTCTATTTACATCATTATTATATTTTCATTTGCCTCTCTCGCTGTTTCATTTTTCATCTTGTCATTAAAAATTTACAGAACTGGGCTTGTCCTCCCTGCCGTGGTTTGTGCAACTGCAGCATATGTAGAACAAGAAGCGGTTTGCGTCCTACCGGAATTTTAGCTCCTGTAGTGCAGGAGGAAGGATATTCGTCTGTAATGGACTACCTCAACTCCACTGATATTGACAAAACATGATTCCAATCTTTCATAATATATTACCAATTGAAACAATTGAATAGAGACAAAATGATTTGTACAACTACATGAATGTAACATTTATATTAATTGAATAGCAAATGATTTTTTATCTCTTTCTTCTGCATTTCGATGTTATTTTATTGCAATGATACCATAATGTCTTGGTGACAAAACAGGATCAAATAAACGTAAAATAGCAAGTTTTGAACATCTGTTGCTCTTTTGTAAAAATAGTATCCTATCCAGCATAATGGCTGCTTCCAATACAAGGCCCACGTGTACTCTTAACATTTGGAATGTACAAAATCTTTTAGTTAAATGTGCATAAAATTGATATGTATTTTCTAACTCCTCCAAAGACGGTATCTAAAAAAGACGGTAGAAAAAAAACGTCTCAATAGATAAATATATACATCGATAATCTTATTATCGTTATACCTTTCCCGATTCTACGCCAATTCTCGAGAATGCCCATTGCGCGTAACTGGGAAAATCGTGCAGAGGTCCCTTGCGACCTACTCTGGCATTGTAAATACCTATTAAACAAAACAGAAAGCATTGTAAAAAATGCTCGGGTTAAATTGGAGTAAAAAAGACAGTACCGATAGAGTGAAGAATCACTTGTAAAATTGCCCTGTAGAATAGCGAGGAAGATATAAATTTGTTTTCTGTGCTTCTTTCAATAGATTGCTGGGCTAGCATTCTAGCATTCTTGGAAAAATGTATTCTTTTGTTAAAAGTTTCGGTCGTCAAATGGTAACAACAAGGAACAATACATAAAAAATGAATGTCTTCTGTGGTTAAAAATGTTTCGATAACGGAATGAGTAAGAAAACCACAAGTATGTAAACCTGTTAATATAAGATTTTTATCTAAATTCCAATTACCAAAATTTTGTTTTACCATTTTTAGATAATCTGTTTTTTCGTTTATTTCTTCGACTACATACTGAACCTAAAACGATGTACATTTCATTTATATTATACATTTAAATATTATGGTGATATAAAAGTGTATTTTAGATTATCTTTAGTACCAAATTTTGAGAATCCGTCTTTTTCTTTAATTTTATTCGCCTATAAATTGCTCCCTTACAACACGATTGCGAAGAGTCTATCGCGAGGACGGGAACTTTATAATCTTCTGCTAGAAATGTTGATAAGTATGCTTTACCAGCACCTGCATCTATTACTAAACTACCAGTTGATGCTGCTACTGTCCCAACAATATTGCCAAGGGATTCAACTTCGTGAAATTTTTTAGCATTCATAAATTCTGTCTTTGTATTTTTACATCTATATTCAACATTGTTCGTAATGTTTGGTAGTACATCTGTAAGATCTTCTGAAGTTATTTCTACAGAACATGACTGCAGGGAAAGACTTTTTGTTAACTTTACAAAATTATTTAAAATAGGGTAATTGTCGTTTTCTGTCCAATAAGTACAGTCTATGTCATTTCTCTCCAGCTCAGATCTTAATGCCACTGGTAAACATGTCTCCCATAAGTTATCAGTGATGAAATCAACTACATGGCAGTTTATTAATTTGTTATACGTATTTATGAAACTTAAAACATCGTCAAAATGTTTGTTATACATAATTATAATATGATTGGTATTAAATGTAATACCATAGTATTATGTATAAATTATTTCCAAGTAATAATACTTTTAATTATCAAAAATAAAAAATATTATAAAGTTCAAACAGTAATATTATCTTGTCTTATATTTATAAACATAGCATTTATGTTTAATTAAAAGTCAAGTTTGTCCATTTCTGGATACAATGGAGATGTTTTTGTTAGCGAACAAAACTTGGCATACTTAAATTTGATATCATCCATACTCTTCAATATATCTACAGTATTGTTGTTATGTCTAGGAAAACTATAAATAATCTGTAGCAGTTCTTTTGCAAGAGATACAGCTTTCTCTGAATTAGGCTTGTTTGTACTCAAATACTGTTCCAGGATACCACTATAATATCCTAATTGTGCTCCTAACAAGCTGGCTCTATGATAACCAAGATGAAATCCATTTATTAATTGTTCTTTCCCAGCCTCATAACCTTCTTTATAACCTAAGTTTTGAGCATTCTCTTCGGTAAACAATAAATTTTCAAATTCTTTATTCACGTCCACATCTTCCTCAGCAGACATATTTAGTGGGCCTAAAAATACATAAAATATAATTATAATAAAAATATAAAGGGACAGAATCATTTTATTGATATAAAACTACCTGTGACATGCTCAAATATCAAATTACATTTTAACGATGCAAAATAAATTTTCGATCACTTTATACTGTGTGCTAGATAGTAGGAAAATATACATACTCGATAAAAAAACAGATAATCTAACTCGATATAAGAATTAATTCTACTCTCTATATCAGGTTATGTTCAAAACACTAAAATATCACCAGATGCTGGAAAACATGTTTACCAATCGTTTGAGCCAGTGATGGGCAAAACCCTAGATTTCGAATAAATGAGAAGTTTGCCGATATGTCTATCTCCTTTCCTCCTTAGAACATTTTCCAAAGAAGGAAAAGAGACAAACATATTGGCAAACTTCAGATTAATTCGAAATCTAGGGTTTTGCCCATCTCTGGTTTGAGCCACCAAATTACTTCGTTTTTACTATAGGTTCTTACTCAGAGATGGGCAAAACCCTAGACTTCGAATAAATCTGAAGTTTGCCGATATGTTTGTCTCTTTTCCTTCTTTGGAAAATGTTCTAAGGAGGAAAGGAGATAGACATATCGGCAAACTTCTCATTTATTCGAAGTCTAGGGTTTTGTCCATCACTGGTTCTTAGAATAAGTACAATTTCTAATTAAGGTTATAAGTGACTACGAAAATAGAAAATATTTTCGTATCCTTTTATTGAGGAACATTCGTTCATAGATAGTGGATAATTTATCGACAAGCCAACAGGAAATTTCTGTCCTTCCATCGAGAAATGCTTTCATAGACGTGGTGTAGTTCCGACCAACTTCAGAGGCGTGTCATGTTTGCGATAAACGCGGCGTTCTTTCTTGTAGAGTGTTCGACGATTTTTTAAGTCCGGATTTCGTAAAAGATGCTCGCGTTAGGACCTAAAAAGGACGGCGGACCCAACACAAAATTTTTCGAGTCCCAGGAAATTCTCACACAGCTCGATGGAGTGAAACAGTGGCTATTGAAAAACTGCAAAAAGGTAGGTCCGAAGACCCGGCATCGAAACCCACATCTCGATAGTTTATATATTTTATTTAAACATTTTAATGTCCGTGAGATTTAATCGTATTTTTGTTAATTTCGTCACAGTTTCAATTTTTTATTACGAGGATAATTACGCTTTTGAGTCGATGCGACTACCAAGAACCATTCCCAATATCAACAGATTGAATAAGTTACATATATCTCTGTTCTGTTTACATTTTCGACGTGTATCATTAATGTAGTTATTATTTTGACATGTCGAATCTGAATCTTTTATTTTATGAATTAATAATATAATATTATCTCATTATACACTATAGCTGTATTTATATGATACAGTTGTAAATATTATAAAAAATATACTTATCTAATAACTATCAATAAATGTCTAATGCTGAGAATGTAAAAATATTATATTTGTATTATATTTTACAGTATGTACAAACGGATCCTCCCACTAATAAAAGTTTAGCCACTTTGATAGTACAATTATTGCAATTTCAAGAAGATAATCTAGGAAAAAATGTTTCAAAACCACCCATGACAAGGCTTCCTGTACGTATTTGTCCATTACCATAATTAAGTATTATTTCGTAGTATTATATTACTCTAAAATTGAATTAAATATTTTTTTAAATTTTCAGGTGAAATGTTTTTTGGATTTTAAACCAGGAGGTGGGTTGTGTCATATTCTTGCTACAGCATATCGTTTTAAACAAGAGCAAGGATGGCGTAGGTTTGACTTTCCTGTTGGAAAGGTAAGCTTTGACATTTATGCTCATATATATATTATACGTATGATACAATATGTAAACCCTTGTTCTTTTAGTCAGGATCTCGTATGGATAGAACAGTAGAAATGTTGATGGCAGCTGAACGAGCTTTAGTTCAGAACAGATGTCTAACCATACCAAGCATATTTGTAAGAGCTGATGTAGATAAGTCAACAGCTGGAAAAGTGAAAGAAGCAATTCGAAGACATCAGGGTACTATTGCTGAAAACGAAGCGGATGCTACACACATCATTTATCCTCCAGCAGATCCTATGGAAGAAGAGTATGCGCGCCCTTGTATGAGGCGCGAGAGATCCGTTCTTCTTCATTGGTACTATTTCCCCGATAGTTATGATTCCTGGACTACTTTAGATCTTCCTTGGGATTTTCCAGAAGGTACACTTACAACTGCAAACATGAAATCTGTATACAAAGTATCGGCAACGTGGGCATTAGATTTAGATCAATACAACGAGTGGATGAACGAAGAAGATTACGAAATGGATGAAAACGGTCAAAAGAAAATACATAAATATAGACTTTCAGTTGAAGATTTAATGGCTCAACCATCTCATCCTCCGCCATCTGCGAAAAAACCAAAGCGAAAACGATCACCAAGTCCACCTCCAAAACTGGGCAAACGTAAAAGTGGAAGGGGGCCATCGGGTGTTCAAAGTGCTTCGTCTACATCATCGCTTACGACTCCGAAAAAGTCACGCGGTGGTGGAGAAGAGGAAGATGATCTCACTCAAGGAATGGAAGACCCTCCAGCGGAACCTCGGATTGTTGAAGTAGTTGCCACGCCTACGAATCCACCGGTTACAGGGCAAGGTAATGTACCAACGAGTGGCACTACCTTAACAACGACGGGAAGTAAAAAACAAGACAATGAACTTCAGCCACTTAAATCTGGTAACATGGCAGATCTGGATGAACCAATGGAAGGTGATAAAGGAAGTTCTCAAGGCACTCAAGACAGAGAAGAACGAGACGCGAGCAAAGAAAGAGGAGAAGGTAACAAAGGCGATGAACCGGAAGATAATGTCACAGAGCAAACGCATCATATTGTTGTTCCTAGTTATTCGGCTTGGTTCGATTATAATTCGATTCATACTATCGAAAAGAGAGCTCTGTCTGAGTTTTTTAATGGTAAAAACAAATCTAAAACGCCAGAAATTTACCTTGCGTACAGAAATTTCATGATCGATACCTATAGATTAAATCCCACGGAATACATTACATCAACCGCTTGCAGACGTAACTTGGCGGGTGATGTATGCGCGATAATGCGCGTACACGCATTTTTAGAACAGTGGGGACTTATTAATTACCAAGTAGACGCAGAATCAAGACCAACGCCTATGGGGCCTCCTCCAACGTCGCATTTCCATGTACTATCAGATACTCCGTCAGGCTTGGCTCCCGTCAATCCAAACCCTCCAAAAACGCCACAACCTTCGGCTGCCAAAGCTTTGCTCGATTTAGAAAAGAAATCGAACATAACGAGTGGAATTGGAGCAGAAGAAAAGGTTTCAGCTGGAGCGATGGCAAATTTCGGATTGAAAATAGATCAGTATTCAAGAAAACCGGCGGTGTTGAAGAACAAACAAGCTGCTGGTGCTACTCGCGATTGGACGGAACAAGAAACACTTTTACTATTAGAAGGATTAGAATTGCACAAGGATGACTGGAATAAAGTTTGCGAACATGTTGGCTCGAGAACGCAAGACGAATGCATTTTGCATTTCTTACGACTTCCAATAGAAGATCCATACTTAGAAGAAGGTGGACCGGAAGGTTTGGGTCCATTAGCTTATCAACCGGTACCCTTCTCTAAAGCTGGAAATCCAGTGATGAGTACAGTTGCATTTTTAGCATCGGTTGTCGATCCTAGGGTTGCAGCAAGTGCTGCAAAAGCTGCTATGGAAGAGTTTGCAGCTATCAAGGACCAAGTACCCGCGACTTTACTGGATCAACACTTGAGAAATGTACAAGCTAGCGCTAATTCGGATGGTAAATTCGATCCAGCTGCGGGATTAGCGCAATCAGGAATAGCTGGTACAGGTCCCCCTGAACCTCCAGATGACACAGCAACTCCGTCAACAACTGGAACTGTTTCAACACCGGTGACTACATCTCCACATTCGGGGACACCGACTCCTATGGAAACGAAAAAGGAGGAACCAGAGAAACCTAAGGAACCGGAAGTTGACCAAACTCAGTTAGATGTCACAAAGAAAGAAGAAGAAATTAAAGAGACAGAAGAAGATACAAAAACTCCTGTAGACGCCGAAGCTGTGGAAGCGAAAGAAAAGAAAGACAAGGTGGTGCGCGATGCTCAACTCCAGTCCGCAGCTGCTGCCGCATTGGCAGCGGCTGCCGTTAAAGCAAAACACTTGGCAGCCGTGGAAGAACGTAAAATTAAATCCTTGGTGGCTCTACTTGTCGAGACACAAATGAAGAAACTGGAAATTAAATTACGTCATTTCGAAGAATTGGAAACCACTATGGAACGAGAACGCGAAGGTCTCGAGTACCAAAGACAGCAGCTCATCACCGAAAGGCAACAGTTTCATCTGGAACAATTAAAAGCCGCAGAATTCAGAGCGAGGCAACAAGCGCATCAACGTTTAGCTCAAGAACAACAGCAACAACAACAGAATCAGCATCCACCTTGGCAACCAACCGCGCAACAGCAACAGCAGCAGCAACCACCGAGTCCGCAAGCACAGGCTCAACAACCACCTCCCCATACGCCTCCGCAACAAGCATAACTCTCTTGTGAGTTACTTTTAAATTATAATTAGCGATCATGATAACGCGATGCGCTATTGTGAGAAGAAAGGACATGAACGTAGAATGAACAAAATATAAATTAAATTTTTAATACTGAATATATTATTTCTGCGATACAGCGTAATGTTTCTTGCGTTACAACGCATTATGTTTTGATCTCATTTAACGTATTTGGAAAATTTACGAAACAATTACTAAACATAATCTATTACAAATTCGTGTAGAAATATTTTTGAGAAGAAGAAATCATCATTTTTTTAACACATTTTCCTTACACCTCATTCACACCGTAAATTAAATGTGAATTTGCAACGCAGTCTACGATTCTTTGTGTGTATTTGTGTGCACAAGATTATACAACATAGCGGCTGATTTATTTCGTTAAATCATAAGAAACTTACATTCCAATTAATCGTAAAGATTCGTTAACGTTCAAGTTACAAAGCATGGTTGTGTACGAGTTCCAAAACTAAATCAGTCATCAGTCGCGCGCATTCTGCATTTCCGCGAGGTGGTGCTCGCAAACTTTGATTTTCCTTGCATGTTTCCGACCTTTCGTACATATCTGGTGCTTCCTCACTTTCGCACGTACTAATTGGCAACATGTCTAATGCGAGACCTACTCCAAATCGTCCGCAACGTCGCATTTCTTCATTCAATCTGTACATTAACAACACGTTTAAAGTCTACTGGTTTACGAATTCTATTGTTACCTTCTCTTTTTTTCTCTTTTACGAACAAATTTGTAGTATATTACTTACAGCTCCCACATAACAGATGGATCTTTTGGTGGCTGTTCTGGATTAAGTGTGTGTAACGAAGACATCAGGTGGAAATGATAGTGCTGGAGAAGCTGCGTCATGTGAGCCCGTCTAATCTCCCCGCTTGTGCAACAGTACAGAAAATTTGCAAGGTCAAGGGCAAGTGAACCAACCCGAGATAGTTGAAAATCGAGTAAACAGACGTCCTGAAATGTCGTAACGTTAGACAGATCGTAATATTTTAAATATTATTTACACGACTGGCATAAACAATCGAAACATTTGTTAGCGTTCAAATTCTTATTATACCTGATTTTCAAAAAACAAAAAGTAAATAACATAAATATTTTTACACTATATCCATCCCTTTTTCCTCTGTATTGAGGAAGTTATTATAGTCACGTACGGAACAAAATTTTTCAAATTCCACGACTACTTCGATAATGAAGTATATACATATTTTATTTACGTGATACGAAAAATGTTTAAAAAAAAAAACAAATTAATTTACGATACGATTGAATTTATATAATGTTCTTTTTTTCAATCAGACGACTACACAAAGTGCAAGAATTTTTGCTTTACGGTTAATATAGTACTTTCCTGATAAAATTAGTGATAAATAACGAGAGAATCGTAATATAAGAATCTTATAAATTTATATAATAAAAAATTATACTGAAACAAATGTCCTTTTAATTTAATATTTTTTCTAAATTCCTAGTATAATTAGACCTTGTGTAATATAAACAGTCTGCTGTATATTCAAATTTATAAATGTTGATGCCCGATATAAAGAACAATCTCTGCATGACTGATTTAATAAAATGTATATTAAGTGTGTAGCGCTTACCTCTTCGTTTGATTCGGCGTCATCTTGAAATAAAATGTTATTAGTCCAACAATCACCATGACAGAAGACAGTGAGAGGTCCCCGCGCAGCTGCCAATTCACTCATGGTGCGAAAAAATACATCATCGCTGAGAAAGGCTCCCAGTTTTTCCATTATCTCGACTCTTTTGTGCTCCATGTGAGTAGGAAGCCCGTCTGATACCATTTTAATAGCGTTCTTAGCAGCTTCTTGATAATACTGACGATACCATTCTTCGTTTTCCGGTCGAAAAAATGCCTCCTGCACACCTTGTCCTCCATCTGGATCTGTCAATCTTGCAAACTCTTCCGGCCTTCAAAATTCGTGTTATGTATATATATAAAATACGTACTATTTATATATCTATATTATACTTATATATACAGTAAATATTGTGAAAGAGAAAGAGATTTTCCGAGGGGAAAAAAGCAGTCAGCAGAAGCGTATCGGTGAAACAATAGTAATGTAACAATAAATCATCGAGCGTCAAGGGGGAATCCCCCCAGTGGTGGGGGTAGTGATTTTGCAATTATCCAGTCAATCCTGTCTTGCACTTATCCAGTCTTTACTGTGTCCGTGTATATATATATTAATTACGTATGCAAGGTAAGAAAAGCCAGTAGAAAGAAGTAATAGTAGTAATAGAAAAAGAATTAATATTGTTTAACTTGCCTTGTTTCTCTAAAAGTCAAACTAAGCGCATGAAAGCCGGCTAAGGCTTTCAAGGCTCGTTTTAAGTGATCAAGTTGTAATCCTTTCCTTCTATCTGCCATTTTAAAGCCTCTTTCTCTTAAATCCTCCATAACGATAAGATCAAACCGCGCTGCATATATTTTGGCGACTCCGCTAAACACTTTTCCATGATTTGTTTGTAACTTATTCAAAGCGGGCCACACATACGTATAGAACGCTACCTCGTTTCGAAAGAGTTGTTCGCTTTTAAACGCTTCCCGATGTTCCCTCGATTCAGGCAAAACTTTATAAATAATCGCACATTCGTAATTAATCCATTCACTGTTTTCCGTTTGTCTTCGACCCTTTGCACGTATACGATAAAGCATAGACGTGTAATTGTCACCTCTTCCTGACCCTGGCTCCTCTTCCAAGTTTTTAATCTCCACATTGGGTTCATCTTTTGTTATCAATTCCCTCACGGCTTCCAACGTAAGAGGCATATGTCTTTTCTCGTTCATCACTTTGGCAGTAAACGTAACAAAACTGCTTTCAAGTAAATAGCACGATTTTGTTTAAATAATCGCGTGTGGTTTAACGCTGTTGAATCGATAGATATCGTGGCATTCCAGTCTTTAAAATGGACGAGTGAGTTACGATGTTAAACTATGCGGTGCAGGAAATAAGTATTTGAGTGACGAGAGGATAGTACCTCCCACTACCACTGAACTTAATTTATTAATCGAACGTACCCTAGCTGGAGGGACAAGGACATTAATATCTACCAATCACGTGTGTAATTTTTATTCTTTGAATGACAAACTGATTGAAATTCTTCTACATATAACGCGAATTTAATAAAGAACCAATTCCATCTTGCATACATTTTCAATAGATTAATACAATAATCAATCTTGGAGTTGTAAAAGTTAGAAAACATTAAGAAATACACGATTTTATACTCTTATAAATAATTTTTTATTATATCAGATTATAATTAATTTGATTACTTTTTATTCAACAAATTCAACGTATCACTCCCTACTAACTGTACCAATTTATCGCGATCTGCATCACTAAGCTCTGGATTATTACACAATTTATTTGCTATTTCAACAACGTATTCTAATTCTAAGTTTATACAATACTCGAGAACAAGCTAGAAATGAAAAGTAAGATATATAGTTTTTGTTTTAGATTCAAATAAATTAAGAAAATAATAAGTAGGAATACGTACAAGAGCTTCTTGGAAACACTTCTGCGAAATACAACCTTCGAATAATTGGTTTATTTCCGATTTCTGCATTGTTGGTAAAAATTTCGAGGTATCTTTAACGAAATTCGTCAGAACTTCTCTCATTTCTGTCACACGACTATCGCGTAATAATAGAATTGCTATCCACCCCGTGATGGAAGTTTCATACGATGCACTAGAGGACTTCTTCATTTCTTTCTAAAATACGAAATTTTTTTTATTCCTATACAACTTCATTCCCTGTTCATTATGTTACTTAACCGTAACAAGCACACAAATACTAAACCTGTATATATATCCAACAAGACCAAGCTACATCCGCAAATATTGCATTCAAAGGTGAGTCAGACGGTACATCAACAGTTTTTATGAGTTCTATCATATTAATGCTCAAAGCAGATTCCGCTATCTCGAATGTATTGATATATGACCAGAATTTTGGTATATACTCTGCTAAAACTGTCGCAGGTTGTGTTTTTAAATGTGCGATAATATCAACCATATGATGCATACTTGGGATGTACATATGCGGAACAGTTTTTTGAAAACATTTGTAGAATTCTTCCATTGTACTTGTCATTAACATTAATGTTAGGTATGTATTGAAATAAAGTTGCTCCTGGTGTATGAAAAATTCATTATGAAATAATGAAATGGAATGAATAAATCCATATGGTAGTGAAACAACATACTTGTGCTGCAGACGTCAAAAATTTGTGATTATTGCCAGTAAGGAAAAGTTTGTGTACCATTTCACCGGCTTTTTTATCGGTGTAATAACGAGAAGCTGTCTCTATAGCCTTAGTAAAAAATTTACAATCTAAGGGGTCTTGAAGAGTAAAATTTTCTTTTAACATTGTATTTAGGGTATTCATAAAAGTGCTGTATGAATGATCACCTACAAAATTACATAATTTTGTAAATTAAAATTAATGACAAAAACAATATAAATGAAACATAATTACCTGTACGTCTATTGATACTAATAATATAATAATATGTGCTTAACGAAAATTTTATTTTCATTCTTTTGAATTCGTTAAGTAAATGTTCTCCAAAATCTAGGCTTAAATCAGTTGACAACAATGAAGATGCTACTTTAAGGGCAGCATTCAATGTACCAACATTTGGATAAACACCTTTTGCATCCATCGATTGAAAAATTTCATTTAATAGGTGTATTGTTTCTTGATCATCTTTTATGTAAAGCTTTGTTATTAGCGGTATTCCAGAATTATAGGTAGTGACACTTAATGGAATATCTTCTTTCAGGCATTTCTGAAATAGCAACCAAGCTTTGTTCTCCTGAAAATTTAAATCAATCATGTTTAATATCATAGAAAGTTTCCTATATAAGTAAGACAAATCACTTTACATTTTTCCATTTCGAGTAGCCACATATAAGAGTATTATGAGCTTTAGCTGCTGTTAGTGGATCTTGGGTTATCAAAAAGTTGTATAACTTCTCAATTTCTGGATGGTGCCTAGAATATAAAACTGCTAAAAATAGGAAAGTAAAATTGTGTGCTTACTATGTTTATTACTTACGACCAATATGTGGTTTCATTAGGTTTAACAAACCACCGTTCGTGTGGCAAATTGTATGCAGAATCTGTATTGGCATTGTAAAAACATAACAATTCTAATAATGCTTGTTTCGTTTTGTTGGAAACATCACATTCCAATAAGTTATAAATATCAAGAGCATCAGCCACATTACATTGCGATATAGCTTGCAAAAGTATTTCTTCTGATACTTGACTTTTATCTGTATATACTGTTGGAGCTATAAATGCCTATAAACCACAAGGTAAGAATTAAAAAATTACTAAGTACTCAATTTAAATCTATTATCTGTTATAGTAGATCAACTATACTTTGATCTGTGGTTGTGAGAGATCCGTTGGAAATAAGTTTCCATGCTGTTTATGGATCCACATTGCCGTTTTTTTACCAGATTCATATGATAATGCATATGCACGTTGATCCAGTTTCTTTATTGGATATAAAAAGGGATCGTCGTGATATTTATAGGATGCGCTCAATGGATCTTTTGGTACCGTACTATCAAGAGCCTTTAACAGATAAAGAAATTCCATATAGTATTACCAAAAAACAATAAAAAAAAAATGATTGAACAGATCTTCTAGAATATTTACACGTAAAATATCTGTAGGTCCCCGATGTATCCTAGGTGGTATTTTGATACTAGGTTCTGATGACATCGTAGATTCCAATCTATTTAACCGACAATGTTTTGCTAATTTCCTGCTGAAAGTATGTTCATTCAGTCTTAAAAATAATTAGTATACTACTATGTATTTTGTTACAAAGTAAATATAAGCTACACATTTTTTCCGTTAATTCAACGATATGTATGCGTTACTAACCTGTGCGTAATTCGCGTAAAGTGGTTCATCGTGGATTATTTTCTAGGACCGTTTTATAAACGAAAGTCAGTTTTACAATAGTGGCGATTTGATTAAAATGCAATAATTAAATACTTCATTTCATGTATTTCTCTCACACGAGAATAAACTGTTATACCATGATCGAAGGAAATCTATGTACAGTTAACCTATACACGCTTTTATCATTCGTGTTAGGCGTCTGTACGGTTGCCTACCTGCAGGCGTGCAGGCTCCTTTTTTCTTATCTACAGAATTCGATGGTACAGAGTAATAAGTTTTAGAATACGTTATCGATTGAAAATATCTGTTTTCAAAGCCATTAGTTTATCTGCAATTAAACGGCAACATTTATAGAGACAACTATCTCTGCATATAAATACGTATGTAACTTCTTTTTTATATTTTCGATAACTTCGAATTTGTAAGCATCATGGTAGACTTCAAAATTAGACAACAAAATCGAAAGTGTGTCGAAATAGGTAGATAAATAAAAGTAAAGATACAAAATTTATTCTCTAATAGCCCTTAATTTCAATGGATTTTTTAAAAATTAATATTCATCTGAGTGAAAGCTAAGAGTCGAATAACTTTTCTGACAATTAGACGGTATTTAAAGTTGCAACTCAGATGTTCTTCTCATCCTCTCCTGTTAGTTTTTAAACACCCTAACAACCATTCTCGGTGGATAATGTCTCACCCCCTCGCTCCCATTGTCGTTTGTATCATCAGCCATTGTAAACAAAGACGAACTAAATAATAGAGATCCCTACTTCACGTGTATTGAAATACCTGGGTACATGGGTAATTAATGGATTCGTGTTTTAATCCGTGTATTTTTAATATTCGAGTATCGAAACACACGGATATCAAGGTACATATCGAAATACACGGATACGCATACATGGAATTATACGGGTACGGTATGCAATTATTTTTATATTCAAACTTTTATGTAAAAAAGCTATTATTCTAAAATAGAGATCCTTATTAATTTTGAAAAAATTGATATGCAGTAAAATAAATAAATAAAAAAGATATAAACATAAGAAGAATTAATAAAACAGAATTAATTTTTCAGTGTAGTTTGTAAAACTTTATTTACTAGTTGAAATAAATATTCAAGTTACGGGTAACAATAGATAATTCGATGTATCCGTACCCGTGTATTTCGATGCACGTGTACGTACCCGAATATCCGTGTATTTCGATACCCGGGTACCCGTGTATTAAATAAGGGTGTCCCAAAAATGTTGCAACACCTTGAAAGGGGTGGTTCAGAAGATGATTTGAAACAAGTTTTTCCTTAGCGAAAATGTTGTCCGAGGCTTCGATGAGGAGATATAAACGGGAAACACTGACCAATCAGAGCGCGTGTATACTGTTGGAGCGGCCGCGGTAGCGAATGAGCGCGGACGGCTAGTCGCTCCATCGGCTTACTCGCGCTCTGATTGGTCAGTGTTTTCCGTTAATATCTCCTCAACGAAGCCTCGGACAACATTTTCGCTAAGGAAAAACTTGTTTCAAATCATCTCCTGAACCACCCCTTTCAAGGTGTTACAACATTTTTGGAACACGCTGTATACCCGTCTTCTTAATCCCTTAATATACGGTACACGTGTTCCGTGTACTTGTATATTTTAATACCCGTTCAAAACCGTGATCTCTACTAAATATCAATAATAATACAAAAGTTACGTGTAAATACTATCAAGTCGCAAGAAAAAATATCACCAAAGAAGTCACCGTTGTCGGTTATAGAACTGACGTCGCAATAATAAGAGGTACGCTCGATTCTGGAGGGAAACATTTCGGGGCGTTCGTTAAACGGTTCAACGCATCATTCTCGCCAGTTTTATAATCGTAGAATACTTTTCCATCCGTGAGCTGGTACGTAGAGGTGCGTGGATATGGCAGCTGCACAGTCGTATCTACAAGATAGAGATTCATTTCTTTCACCGCATTTATTGTTTAGCATATGAATGGTGCACGGAACACGTGTATACGTATACGCGCGTGCGCGTGCACACCAAGCGTGTACCCTTTGGCATATTACAAAGAATTGAATAAAGTTTATAAGGAAGCCAAAACCAGTCCGCAAAGAGAAGTAGTTCTCTTTTGCCGTGAGAATGCGCGCGAGCGCGCGCTCAGGCTCGTTCGCGCACCTTCTGTACCGCGGTTGTGTGCGCGTGTGTATGTAGTACGTCGCACACAACGGAACGTGTACATAGGGAAGAAGCCAGGTGTTTTATTTCAAACCGTGGGACTCTTAAAGGGGGATGCTTGCACCACGTTGTACCACGCGTCTTCTACCTGAAGAATATGAATGAAAAACAGGATTCATGTTACACCAGGAACAGCCCCACTACTTTTATTGTGTTTTCTTATTCGATCGAATGTAACGTAACCCCTTGCACGCCGTTCTTCCACGGTTCTTTTCAATAAATTTTCCTTCTCTACGATCCCAATGTGGTAGAAAAAAAAAAGAATCGGATAGTATTTAGATAGACCATCGAGCAACAATACGCGGTACGTTCCTGTCTCGTTGAAAGGTAAACAAAGAAAGAAACGAAGAAAGACGGTACGTTGCTGCCCCTTCTTCGGGCTTTCGACGACAAAGAAATAACATGTAAAGTGCTATGGGCATAGCGAACGAGAAGACGAGATCATATTATGAACCGTGATGGATGTTCCATCGATAACTGCTATTACAATCTTTCGAAAAAATGTGATTTTCGTTTCAAGTTTAAACAGAGTTTCTTGCGACCGTTACATATTATTTATATGTATATTTAAAGCCTCTGTGCTCTACACTTTTCGATCTCGTTCGACCGCAATGTTTACATTTAAATGTAGTCTCTTTACTTCTAATTTTTTAAGTAGACGATAGAGTCGATAGATGGAGCATGAGTAAAGATCCAATGGTGTAACGCGGATATGTATTATATTCGTGTATCAACTTTTGATTTTATTATCTAAATTAGACAGAAATGCGTTGATTTCATCTCGTACAAGGTATTGCTTACTCTGCGATGTAATTAAAGTAACGATTTTTGATAGCGTGATTTCACGGGTAATTACGTTCAAAGTCCGATAAATTTGATTTTTTTATTTTATTTTGAAGCCTATTCTTTTACATATTATCTCGATTTGCTTACGAACCAAGTAATACAAATTACCAGCTTTCATTTAACGATTTTATACATCGTCGGAAAACGAAAGACGAGGAGTACGTAGAAGAATTATTCTTATATTGAAGCAGGGTGTGGAAGGGGAAGATTCAGCGAATTAGGGCTGTTTCACAACCTAACCCATATTTATGGTACATGTCGTTACAGAGATAGTTTTCTTTTTTTTTATTTTTATAACATACAAAAATAGTTTTTATAAGTACAGAAACAAAGTAATATAATCCGTTAATTATTATTTACCAGCCAATACCGAATACATTTGTTTACGTTAATACGTGCAATGTTCTTGTCCCAGCAGGTATGCTCGAAAGATGATAATTCGAACAGATCCAGCAGGCCGGGACGAGTGCAATTTGATCTAATCTTCACAACAAATAATGCCCACATCCCAACCTGCCGGTATCCTCGATAAATTTAGCGAAAACGGTTCTGTGGCCATTGTTCGTCTTCTCTCACTTGTCTCTTGTTTCGTCGACCTCTTTTCGTTGTTCGTTTGTTCTACCTTTGTCGACGAGATACAATGCATTCCGATAGGCCGGGACAAGTGCAATATTGATGAATTAAATCGTCACGAAACATTGTCACAAATCTCGGCCTATCTTCGATGCAAGTCTTTCTTTAACAGACCTTCGCAGTTAAATCCTGATTCCAACAAAAAAAGAAGAATAATAAGAAGAATGATCATTGATCGACTTCTAATCCAAAAAAGAAAAGATACGTCGATCGGAAGCTGCCAAGATAAAAGCCGAAAATTTTATCCTTTGTATCAACGTTTGAATCATCAAAGGACCGGGAATTTATACGTAGAAAAGTTTACAAGAATTTGACGAGAATTAATACGAATCAATAATTGTTTACGTAACGTGCACGTCCCCATCGCAAAATGCGTTATAGTTTATACCATGATACTTTTGATACGAAGCATCTCTGACTCGGCCCTTGGATGATCAGTTTCCGAATCAGATCACAGTTAGCTTTGAGTCACAAAATTGTGGCTCGAGGTTATCGTGGACCTTACGTAAACGATGTATACAATCAAACCTTAACATTTTCATCGATTCTGTAAATTTTACGAATTTATAAAAACCGAGTCCAATTTCGTTATGTAATTAGTCTACGATACGTCGTGTGCTAACGTTGTTTCATACACGAGGTTCGAAAATTCGTCATCGTTTCGCGAACGAATTCGTCGAAACGATACCAACCGATAAAATTAAAACTACGTATTGCGTAATTTTACGTTGTACACTGTTCGAACAACGGGATACATTAACGCTGTTAGAGAGAAGAAAAAAGAAACGTAATTCGCGCGCAATCTCCTCGAATAACCCTAAGACCGTATTTGTGTACAAATATTACAAAGCAGATACGATTTAACGGATACGTAATTACAATTCGTATTCAATAGACCGCCGTTTCTGAATTTCACAAAGTCGGCAAGAGGGGCACAAATTCTACCGTACCTGTCTCGAATCGGCACAGAATCGTCGTACACGCGGTTACACGTTTCGATGAAACAAACACGTTTATCGATGTAGTACACCCTAACCCCCAAATCGAAGCAAATGACGTCTTTCACCGGTTGCTCGGTATCTCGCGCCACGCTTTTGTTTCCTTTTCTCCTTATCTCGTCCCGTTCCGTTTAATCGTTTCGATTCGTTGTAACTAATCGGTAAGCGTCGCGTGGTAACGTAAACGCCGCAAAAATCGCAGGAAAACTAGTCGATCCGAATCTTCCTCATCCACTTCACAACACTATCGACGCGATACTGTCACGGCGTGTTTTACGAATGCGATGACGACGGCGTGGCGACGGCGATGGCGATGGCGACGGCGATGGAGAGAAGAAGAGACGAAAAATATAATTTCCTCTGGATGGTGGTTCTCGATGGTAACGAGTATCCGACGAAAACCATACAAGACGCGACGACGACATCCCGCGTAGGGAGTTCTCGACAAACTGCTGCCCGTGACCAGGTGTCTCGACTCTTTATTCCTTTTGGGCCCCAAGTACATGAAAGCCCTCGGCT